TAAGGAGTAAAAACTGGGGAAAATAAGTAGTTTTACATGTAAGAAAACTGAACTGTCACAGAGACTTAGAACCAAGATGTGAGGAGACAGTTCATAAATCCATTCATCAGGTGCAGTTTTAAATCTGAAAAAAAAATAGATCCTGGCAATTTTGTCAGGCAGAGGTATCGTGAAAAGATCTGGGACATTACCTAATACGTGTACTGACTAACAGTTTCAGAAAATATGAAAATGGGATATCCATTCCATCCCTGCACAGCCCGCGTGATCTAAAATTTACTTCACCACAAGGTCACACAGCTAAGGAGAGAGCGAGGCCGAAACTGCATTTTGTGGTGACGATATGTGAAAGATTTACTTTTCAATTTTTTCACTTCATCATTTTCTTTCACTTCATTTCAAAGTTCAACCCACACTTTTAGCTCATGAGGAGATGCTCTCGCTGGTAAAAAAAAAAAAAAGAAAGAAAGAGGAACATTAGAAATCTCATTCTCAATTTCATTTGTGCAGTATGATTGCTCCCATGCACTGGCAGATGAGCAGTTTTTTACCGTGCATCAAAGGGAATCATAGAACTCTTGTCTATGTAATAATTGACACCACGTTCAGCTCTCTAATGTTTGAAAGTAAACCCTTGCTATGGCAAGTTTTTGTTTTTTAAATATGACCACATGTTGTGAAGATGCTCCAAGTCAGCAGGACCCTCCACCGTTCACTGTGCCACAGCAGGAACTTCTTGCTGAGGTAAGGATGAGCACCACATGGATCTATATTGTGTCAGCCAACCCAAGGAGTACAAAGGTTTCCACTTTCTGTGTTTATGTGGACACATCAGACCCACATACGCAGAGAAAGATAATATATCTGAAGTGTTGCGGCTGTGATTTCTAGAATAAGTGTAAAAAAAAAACAAGAAAAGAATACTAAATATACATTTAAGAAGCCAAGATTACAGTCGCTAATTTACTTTAACAAGGGATTTCTGTTATCTAATTGTATTGTTGCAGCTGAGTTCCAAATCAAATTATCTTACATTTTCTGTGCAAGCAAAATATAAAAAAAATGTTTTGTTAAAAAAACAAACAAACAGAAAAACAGTGTAACGTGTTGATTTAATCTAAGTGATGATATAAGAGGTTCATTCATTTAGACAGATGCAAACTGCTGAACACATATCACATATCATGATCATGTATTGATATAAAGGTGATTTTTTTTAAAGACAATTAGCTGCTGAAAGATAGATGCGTACATTGCTGGGGAGAGGCATTGTTTAAAAAACATATACACTCATATATTATACATTGAAAATGCATCTCTCTGAGGCCTTCCTCCCTCTCATTCTCTCATCTCCCTCTCCAGTTTTCTTTCATGTGGGAGGCAGCACTGGGCACCCAGCCATGCCACATCAATATGCACACTGGCGAAATGCTTCCCCTGCTCAGCCTCTGCTGCATTGCCGGAGCCCGAAGTTGTGGAAGCTCTGGGCTAATGTCACCAGATATGGCGGCCCGCCGTTAACTAGTGGTTAGTTAACGGAAGACGGAAAAGCGTCGCACTCCCCACTGCGGAAAGGCCAAAGCCAGACCGGCCTTGTCATAGCAACCTGCCACGGTGGCAGCCCGTCGACGCAGACAACGCCAGCCAGCGCCACCCTGGAGGCAGCTTGGATTGTACCCAAACAAGGTTCCCTGGGAGCCCGGGTTGCCATGGCGGCAGCCGAATTTGGGTCCAAAAAACGTGAGAGGAACAGGCGGTGGACTGGGGAGGGGGACTCGGGGTAGCAATACAGAGGACAGAGGAAGTGAAAGGGGGTTCCCAATTGCCATGGCAATCTTAAAAAATCAATCCTGGTTTTCAAAGGGCGTCAAAAAAGTAAAAAAAACGAAACAGTGTTGACAGTAATATATTAATGAAACACATTAAAATAACACCGATGATGAGCTAACAACAGTCATGAAATAAAGAAGGAAATTGAGAAACCTGATGGTGGCTGGTGCCGTTACAGATGCAAAAGCCTTCTAAAGAGACAACTTTAGAGCTATTTGATTTAATTCACTTACGGTGAAGTTTCAATTTAAAAGAATAAAGCTCAACTTTCAGATCTGTGGAGTTACAAAGTGATAAATGTACTTATGTTTTACCTCACAAGGTCACGGCTATAAACATCGTGAGCTCATAAATTACTATAGTCAGGTTAAGAGGAGTCAGAACTGTTTTCATCCTGCACAAATATAGCACATTCAACCATGAGCTAAATTGAATGTTTTGAAAGACTCCACTCTCCAGGCTTCTCTGCTCTGTCACTTCCCTCAGAATCAACTAAGTGGCTCTAGATTACCTAACCCTGATCTCTGAATTCTAAAACCCATCTTTTCTTAATTAAAAAGTTTTCATGACGGAAACGCATCAAGGGAATTCTGAGCACTTAGTTTTACTCCCTTCGCTGACAGACTGACGAGCAAAGTAACAAACAGCTGAGACAGTGAACAATACAGAGTTTTCTCAGTGTTGCCTCCCCACCATGGTGTCCCTAAGATCCCAACTCTTTGCACGTTCCAAACTTAAACTCCTCCGTAAAAAACCTGCTGCTTGGCTCGCGGTTCTGTAAATCATGCAAAGCAGAGAGCATTGTACTTGGTCTGGAAAAAATATCCTTGTATATTGAGCAGACACAAATATATGCACATATGCACTCTCACGCACATGCCGCGGAATCTTGCCAAAAGGGACGCCATCCCCTGCACCGCTTTGTACAAGACAGACAGGCACATGCAGTCATTGACTTAGCTCACAATGTGAACCCTACTAAACAGCATACCTTCCTGATTTTGTGCTGGTAGTACTAAACAAAGCCCACTGTTAGTTGCATTATGACTATTTTGGTAAAGATTTTCAACAGCAGGGTGGAACCAGAATAGTTTGAAAACAACCTGAAACGTCGCTTACTCCATCTGAAGGAGGTAAATGTAGATAAGTGTAACAAGTTCAGGCGAATCATATCAAATAAATGGCGACATATAGAAATAACATAGCTTTAGGAATAAACGTAGGACTGTGCTAGGAACTGTTCCAAAAGCACATAGCTGAAATATAAGCTGTTAAGTTTTTTTCAAAGACTGTTTCCATTTTACCCAGCGCTGCTGCTGCCTGTCACCAGGCTTTCCATCATTTCTTCACGTTTTGCCTTCCTCAATTTGAGGTTTTAAGTTATGTTTTTTTTTCACTTGACTCCCTTGAAAACCTATTTTTCTGTAATCCTGGTTGAAGGAGCACTGCTGGCAGCAGTGAAGGGGAGCACATGTATCAATATTTTATTAAGCAAATATCTTAAAAAGTCCATAATGATAATGCCTTCACCTTCCTCTAAGGATGGAGACTGTGGTCATCTCCCATCAAAGATCAAACAAACATGAACGAACGTGCACTCTAACACCATTTCTACTCCAAATTCATCCTGTTATCTAAACAAGCACTGTCCTCTTGTCAGCGTCAGTGGGCTCCTTTCTCTGTCTCCTCGGAATAAAGAAAGACTCTCCTGCTCACAGATGAATGGAGTCTTTTGATAAAGAGCTGAGCCTTGTTTACCGCAACTCCATAGTCCTGTTTTTCAAGTCAGCATTGAGGGACACTCCACCAAACACCCACCGAAACTGAACCAGTCCCCTTCATTTAAACCCCTGCTAAACAACAAACTCCTTACAGAACACATTCATACAAAACACGCACATTATTCCCACTCTCAATCCCGTGTTGCTCCCTATCACGTCTCAGCCCGCTTTCTTTTCTTTTCTCCCTCTAGTGTCCTAGATCTGTGTCCAAACTGATTTGAGGCTTACTCGCTTACAGAGACGCATGCCAAAATTGATTCTTTGCATTCTGCTGTGCTGCTCGGCTCCACCCCCCCTCCCCAGACCCCAATCAACACCACCATGCCCCCACCCCTCCATTCTGTTCTCCACCATCTCGCGGTGTAACGAACACCAAACGATGCCTTTGCAAGGAATATTACTCACTGAGGGAAAGTGACATGATCAGAGAAACTGACATGCACCATCTGATGATGTGAAATGTCTTAAGCAGAAAGAAATGAATAGCCAAATTAGCGGTCAAACAAATCTAATAAAGTAAAAGCAATCAACTCTTGCTAGACAAAAGGCAAACTAAACTGCAATCACAGCCAGTATAATGATGCCTAAATGATCTTTTTCTTTTCACTTATAAAAGTTTAAATACTCTAGCTTATTGAATATGGAATTTCAAAATGTAAGTAAAAAAAGCCACATCTGGCTGGTATAAAGACCTCTTCTCGCAGTAAATTAAATTAAAATTTGGTCACAGAAAAAAAGAAAACACAGCTGAAAGCATTAAAGTCAACGGTCATAGCTCCTAATAGCCTGCGCTCACAAAAATCGAAAGAAACTAGAAAAACAGTCCCATTAAGTGGGAGAATGTTTGCGCTAACAAGTTATACATTTTTCTGTAGCTGCAAAAAAGGGAGTCCAGGGTGCTAATGAGGCTAGGGAAGGGCATTCATTTGAACCCTAAAGAAGAATAAAAGAAAAGGGGAACAAGAGATGGAAAGAAAAGAAACGAGAAGAAAGAGAGGATCAGAGGGAGGAGGTTGGCAGGCACTGAGTATGAAAATTTGGCACCTTCCGCACGCAGAGATACCATCGTGCCAAAAACGGCCGCCGACACAACTCCTCTCACTTTCAACATCAAACTCCTTTGCTGTGTTGAGCATGCCCACAAAATTATATTACTATTCTTTAGCCCAAATGTGCGAGATAAAATACGTTATTTTAAGCCTTGTTTTCTAAATCACTGCTCATGGAACTTTTTATTAATCAGAGCAAACTCGGCTACTTCTTAAGAAAAGCATAACGGGAAAATCTATATTAAAAACTATAGCAATTATAGGCCGTGGAGCCTTGGATGTTAAAAGCAGCGTAGTGACTCTTAGCTTGACTATAGCTGTAAGGCACTGAATAGCGCCATTAGGCAGCCACAACAGCCTTTGCCAGGGCCTCGCTGTGAGTGCAGTCCGGTGAATAAGCCGTCTTCCCTGGCTCTGCCTCTATTCTGGCTGGCCCGCATAGGAGTAAGCGTTGCCCACTGCACTCTTTCTCCCGCTCCTCCTCTGCCTCTCTTTCTCTCTGAGGTCGGGAAACCCTCCTGAGTGGGTATATGGTTTTTGGGGACAGACGCATTTCATGGTTGGCGCCACTACAAAAGCCTGAAAAGAGACCCGGCACTGGGAAGACACAGTATTAATACAGACAATACCTCCCCCTCACTGCTTCTGATTCGCTCGTTCTTTTCTTTTTTTTTCTGTTCTGTTTCGCCTTTCTCTCTTTTTCTGCTTCCCTTTTTTTTTATTCCCTCTTTTACACATTTCAGGTGTTATTTTCCAAATAAAAATGTTTAAAAAGCCTATTCAGCTCGAGTAAAGAATGTTTCTCTGTAATAAATAATTGTGCTTGCCTACTCTAATTTTATTTGACAATCATTAATGTGTTTTAACATGCAATAAAATCTCACCACTGTAAGACAAGGTTCAAAAGTGTGTGAAAACACATGCCCAGTCACACACACATACACACACACACACACACACACACACACACACACGAAAAGCTATGTATTAATATAAGCAATGCCCTAAACTCCTAATGCTATTATTTAAAAACATTAATCACATATCACATCATTTTATTTAACTATATATTGCCGTATGAAAATACATTTTTTGTTTAAAATTATTCTACATTTAAAGAGATAAATAAATATATGAATAAAAATAAAGATAAAATACACTACGAAGAAAATGTGTGACATGTAAATTAATTTTGATATAAAGCATATAATTTATTCTGAGAAACTACAGAATAAAAAAGTTAAAAAGGACTGTTTAAATACATGATTTCTGTCGATTGAAAAATAGAAGAAAAAAAATCTCACAGCTTAGTTTCATTCATTCAGTGCGAAAAGAGAGAATAATCAAACAGCATAAACTGTCTTATTTGTCTGTTCCAACACAGAGCTGACCTCTCAGTGTCACTGGAATAATCTGTTTACCACGTATCTCCCAACGCTGAAACTCCCCACACAAAAAGAAACAGATGTGGGCAGACCAGAAATGTTCATGGCTTTTAGTCTCTCCCAAGCCAGACACCGCCAAAGCAACGAGGGCTTATGGTCATTATGTCCGAGGCAAAAGGCAGGGTTTCTAGAGCAAAGGGACTGCATCAAGGGGAATGCCAGTGTGCGCTGGTCAGTTTAATGGAAGACCAAACATGACAACATTGTCTTTGACTCGCCTCTGTCCTGTTTTTTTATTTATTTTCTCTTTGAATCTGCTTGTCATTATGGTCTCGAGAGATAAAGACAGACCCTGTGGTTCTGGATCGATCTACATATGTCTGCCGCGGTTCAAACTTAGCCATACTCTTTTGTATGTGCGCGTGCATGTTTTCAAGCAAAGAGAGTATACAACAGGGCTTTTTTGGCTAGACTGATACGAACAGCGATCCAAATGCACTTTTTTTTGTAGGCCGGCGACTGAGTGAGGACATTCCCTCTCGCTCTGTGTCTCTAACAGGACGGGGTTCTCCCTGAATCTTAACCCTTTTGAATTTTATCTTGCAGTTATCTTCGTGTGTCCTCGATGCCAGGCGGAGACACGTACCCGCTTAAATGAAAGCTATCAGTAAACATTTGCCGATGCCAAAGCTTCTCTGCATGCGGAGGGCTTTTCATAGCCGACGCGGGCCCTGTTCCCACCGCACAACACAAAAGCCCCTCCGACCTGACGGACTCCCCGAGTGTCAAGATTTCATTTAATCAAAACTTCACTGCTGAGGGGTCGCCCTTCGTCTGCGCTCGCGCTGAAAGAAACACTTGCGCACAAGGACAGTTCAGTCAATGACTGCGGTGTCATGGGAGCCTGAGAAGAGACCAGGAGGTAATTAATAACAGATTATTTTCAAAGGAAGAAAAACTGAGCAGTGGGAACCTGTGGATCACAGCCTTCTGTCAACTTCAACGTCAGCCCAGAGTCTCCCCCCCCCCATTCTCTTCCTTTCCTAAAACTATATTTCTCGTCTTTCTCCCACGTTTTTACCTTCTGTTTTGCAAACCCATAAATTGAATTTTCCTCGGCGACGAACGCGAGAGGGGTTTTTATTTTGTGAAGCCTCGCTGTGGTCAACGGGTGTGCTGGGGGGGGTTGGCCGCAGAGCCAGGGGTTTCTCGGGGCTTTCTCACAGCGCTGTCCAAGGCATTACTACTGCTATAGTGAGGCGGAGGCGGGATCTGGCACCGTGGAGCGGTCATTGCAGAAATGGCAAAGCGAGCACATTTCACACCTCCCTCAGAGTGACTGCAAATTTCCTGTACGGCACTTTTGATTGGAAACACATTTGAAACATCTTTTCATGATCACACTTTACGGCGTACAAAGAGAAGGGGAAAAAAAAAAAAGCAATACGAATAAGGTCCAAACTATGAGTAAGCGCAGTGAGCTAACTTTGGATCTGACATGTTTTTTTTTTTTGTTTTTTTTCATCTTTTATTTTTCCAACCTTGAATAAATCAGAAATGTGCTGAGTTTAATAAAAAAAAAACAGCACAGGGATTATAAATCAAGTAGTCGTCTGTACACTGTGAGAAGCAGCTAAATAATTTCTCCTTAGATAGTTTAAAAGTGGAGCCACCTACACAGTAGTCAGACTCGCTGAAGAGAGAATTATATCTGAATAAGTACTTGAATAAGCCGGTTCAACACTCTCCATTCATGGGTTACCTAAGGGACCCTGCCAGTGTGTGGTACTCTTGGGATTTTGAGCCAAGAGATCATTATCTCTATTATAGGATACCAGTCTCTCACCTCTAATAAACCACTAAAAATACACTACTCATTCCACCGCACCACAGTCACTCTTCTGCTTTCCTTAATTTGTTGGCAATATTTCAGTTGCAAGGTCCAAGTGCATATAAATCTGGGGGAGATTCGAGGGGGAGAAGGTTCTGTACTGTGGTGGTGCGGTTTATTCTGTAACGGCCGCGGTGTGTTATGCTCTGTGACGGAGAAGATCTCCAAGGCAGGCTGGCTGCACAACAGTCTGAAAAGCCTAACGGCAAGCCCAGAGATTCCCCGCGGCAGCTTTTGCCACTCTGTCATAAACAAAACACAAGACGTCTTTCTCCTCTTCCCACACCAACGGGGCTCTGGCGCTGCCAAACACAGTACAATCACTATTGTTGCCTCCTCTCCTTTTCCAACATGCTCTCTCTGCATCACTCCCTCTCTGTGTCTCCTACAATATAAACAAAAGAGATCAGCAGAGGCTTTACCTCTGTGAGAGAAACAATGAGAGTGATGTTTAAGGAGACAAAACAAAAGTGTGTACGGGATCAAAGAGGCGCGCGGAAGACAGGGTTGCTAAAGACGGACAAAATACAATCCAAACAAAAACCAATAATGGGCCCATCTTGTTCCTCAATGCGCACAAGTGGCTAAACATACAACCATCCATCGCAGTAGCAGATCAGTGATAAATGAAGGCGGACTGTCCCACCTCTTCATCAAAAAATATGCAATTGAAAAATAAACGAGTGCCAATTGTGAGAACAGTGGCAATCCAGTGAAACATTAGTTTCCCCGCTATTCACCCTCCAGTCTGTCTGCAGACCCCTGAAGTGTCTCTCAAACGACAACTTAAATTGAGCCCTGGCTCTTTGAAAGAAGATAATAGCACTGCGGCAGACTGTGTTAGTCAGATAAGATAAGAGGGAACACACAGTAAATAGACATTATGAATGGACAGCGCACGGGGCAGCGGGCAGCGGTGTGTTTTACTGGACTGCTGTAAACCAAAGTACTGTAGCAACACATGTACCGCAACATCGAACAGCTGACAGTGTCGGACGAGGAAACTTTTACAGTTTGGGCGTGTGCATGCAGTCGCGTAATAATACCAGCAGAAAACACATTAAGTTAAAAAAAAGTTTGACGTTTTCACAATAAAAACACAAAGCCAGAATGCCCGAATGAACACAGCTCTTAACTTAAAAAATAAAAAAACTCTAAAAAATTTAAATTCCTCATGGAGGTGCATTTTATGCTAATGCAGTTTAGAAATAAAACCTCATTGAACCAGCATAACTGAGGAAGTTTTGCCAGACTAGAGAGGCTTTCTTAACCTTGATTTTATGGTGATTAAATCCAACAACTCTTTCCATTGATGTGTTATCCCATTGAAATCCACATATATTGAGCTAAGTGTTAATGAATATAATACACTAGTTAAAGAAACAGAAAGCAGCACACTTTAACATTGTAAATTTGTTTTTTGTCATGCTGAATAACTTTGTGAAGTTGCCCCAGAATTGCCAAAGCTAAACAGCTAAACAGCTAAACTCAGTTTCAAATAGATTTTGCAAAATCGAAAGAAGATAAAAAAAAAAAAAAAACTAAAATTATTATTGAAACAGTGTGACAGACTGCCTCCTGCCTGTTGTTAATAACCACCAAAGACAGACTAACAGAGAGAAGCTGCAGCTACTGCCAGGGTTTGGCTCGGGCCGCATGAGGTGTTTGGCCTGTACTGAGACTTTGTGTGTGTGTGTGTCACAAAGAAAGAAACACAGAGGGCCGGCTGTGATAGTATTTGGCTAAATGTTACTGGCGAACAAAAAGATTGTGCTTAAGCTGAGAGCAAATGTGTGTATTTAGGCGGTGACTGGGCTACGCTGCGTATATATATGTGCCGACTGAGTCACTGTTTGAAATTTTCCAAAAAATTCCAGCTGAGATAATATTAGGTCATGAGCTTGTTTGAACATCCAGCCAGTGAATGGCGAAGTAGTGTGTGTTCGGAGGATTTGGCTGTGAAATGTATTTTGTGTAAGTGTGTGTGCGTGTGTTGTGATGGTGTTTCTTGCAGTGTGGGGGGGGGGACAAAAAAAAACCCCAAAACACAACCAGTGTTTTGGCCATGCGTGCAGAGAACACGCACTGGAGGCTACAGTGATGTTTGGCCGGGTGCGAGAGCGTGTGTATCCACGATGGTGGCTGAGATACAACATTGTCTGGCTGTACAAAACTGTACGATAGTTCCTGGCTGAATGTGCACACTGTGTGGGTGTGTAGACACAATTGTGACAAAAACTATGTTCCCCCATTCTCTTAAATAAATAAATAGATAAGAAGAATATGTGCAGCCCCGTTCAGCTGTGTTAGCATGTGAGTGTATGGGTGAAAAGGTAGCTGCAGTGTTAATGTCTGTCTTTGCGCGTTTGCCGTTGGTGTGTGAGCATGTGTTTGGCAGCCAGGTCCAATGTTGTGCTAGTGTTTAGGCAGACAGCGAGGGTGGCGGCAGCCTGCGGCCTAAGAGCAGGAGACTCGCGGCTCTGCTCCTTTTCTCTCTTTCTTTCTCACACACATAAAACCGCGCAACTTGGGATGTGGCCAAATTACAATCCCCGACTATAATAGTCTTATTATGACACTTTGAACAATGTTTTAGGAAAGTAATTCTTCTTTGTGCAGCATCGATCACACCATTGCACAGAATTTTAGAGCGGCGATCATCACAAACACACAAGCGAATGCACGGGGAATGTAATTTTTTCCTATATAAACACACAAAATACATCCTCACACTAAACCCCAAATGCCTCACAATGAAATATGAACTCATATTGGCTAGAGTAAACTGGAGGAACGCCCCTTAAGATGCGCTCAAAATTATTTATATGTCAGTTGTCAAGCAAACAAAAACAGAACTAAACTATAAAAAAAGAAAATATGAAATATATGTGATGTTAGTTCTTTTTTTTGGTGGGAAAAAGCATTTTTGCTTTTTCCCACCAAAAAAAAAGAACTAAAAGACATAATTTTGCCTTTTGAAATTAACTTTTGAAATGAGCTGCATCACATTAAATAAAATGTATTAAACAACATTTTAAAAGCAACTTTTTCAGCACTTTCAATTTTAATTCACACTTTGATGTGAAACACCTTAGGAGAAGTATTTTAAATGTCTTTTTTTTTCTACTCTTCTTTTAACTATTAGTCACACAGGCAAGTGTGCATGCTTATGAATGAGCATATGTTATTATCAGAGTACTCTAACAAATACTGGATATATTGCGTATGTGGGGTGTGTGTGTGTGTGTGCTGGCATTCCTCTCTCAGAGTGTCTCGTGACCAGGTGAAAACATACCTGGTGTGTGGACAAAGTAGGCCAGGTAAAGGTCCAGCTCCTTGACAGACACTCCGATGTGGTGTGGCTGGACACACAAACCGGGGTTGGTGCACTGTGGTGACTTGACCAGCCGCTCTCCGTCCGTGCTCTCTAAGGGGCTGCCCTTGAACAGGATGACCATCACCAGGTCCAACCGCCACACCTTGTCGGCCTGGCGCAGGCAGTCGATGCGACGGATCTTGCCCTTCTGGTCGGGGTTGGACAGCACGCAGCAGGGGGGCTTTTTGCCCGTGATGGTGAGCACAAAGTCCTCACGGAACTCGGGCCGGATGTCCTTGCGGAGCTTGGCCAGCAGGCGCGAGGCCCACTTCTGCTTAATCTCTGGCTTCTCCCCGAGTAGCTCATCCTTCACCGCGCGCTCTTCCTCCTTGGACATGCGCTTCTCGTGCTTCTTGAAGTACTTGCGCTTGCGGGCCTGCAGGTTGAACCAGGTGTAGGCGAAGGCGCGGACATGGGGCAGGAGGGCCTCGATGAAGGGGTGGAATTCATCCTGGATGAGAGAGGAGGACGGGGGGAGGGCGGAGGAGGACAGGGAGGAGGGGGGGAAGCAGGAGGAGGCAGAGGAGAGAGAGGGGGAGAACGGGGGAGAGAAAGACGGGGAGAGAGGTAGCGGGGGTGAGGAGGGGAAGAGAGAAGACAGGCAGTTAGCACCGGCACGCAGCATGGAGGAGCAGCGCCTGCTCCGTGTGAGCAGAGGGAGTGAATGAGAGAGAGGCGCTAAGAGACTGACAGAAAGAGAGATAGAGACAGAGAGAGAGGGAAGGATGCTTTCTACTCAAATACGGACACATCACACTGAAGGACGCGCTCACAATCCACCGAACAACACCATACAGAAGGACTAAGGTAAGAGATGATAAAACTGATGAGCGAAAAAAAAGAAAAAGAAAGCCCACTGGGTTTTCTTTATAACAGTGTCACATTGGTGCGTAAATACATCAATATAAGCAATAGTTTTTGGCATAAAATTGTATACAATCTAACATGAACCACCATAAAACAAAAATAGTGTGAAATATGGAAAACTATGCATTCTCAAAAGTAACATTTTTAGCTTTACAAAATACGATGCAAACAAATATAATATATTAATAACTAATATAATGACAAACAAATTCCAATTATTAACTCTAAAAGACTCCAATTAGAAAGCAACAAAAAAAAGAGATCCTCCATAAACAACTTCACTGTGCCAGCACTAAAATTAATTAACAGTAACGGATTTTAAAAATAGGTAAATAAAACAAGAATCACGTGATAGTTACCATTTCTCTCTTTCATCATAAATTCATTCCATCGATTGCACAGAAAATTAAAATGCACGGCCAGTGCAGTAAGTGGACTATTGAGCCCGGAAATACTGCTGTGAATAACAGAAAACAAAAGACTGAAGAAGAAGGAAAAAAAACAAGAGAAAAACAGAAGCTGAGAAACTGTCCAATAAAAGCAGCAGGGGGTTGGGGGGGGGGGGGGTAATCTGAGTGAGGAGACAGGCCAATTAGGTACAGTGTAATACCAGTTCAAGAACACAGGAGGTACTGTAGCAAGAGCTGCAGAGGAGGTGCTGTTCAGGAGCACAGCAGAAGGAGAGTGGAGAGAAGTTTTGCAATCTGTATATCTAGAAAGGTTTAGAAAAGAGAGAGCTGGATTTGCTGGAATTTAAAAAAAGCCAATAATGCAGGCAAAAAAGGTCAACTTGTCAAAAAACAAAACAAGCTTCTTTGCGAAAAACATGTTGGAAAAATATCTTGTTTAAAAAAAAACAACCAAAAATTGGTGGCAGAACGGCACGTGCTAGTGACTCAATTCTGATCTGCATAGGACTCACGGTGAAGGAGAGAGAGAGCTGGACAAGGGGGTGCGGACGGAGGAGAAGAAGAAGAAGGAGAAGAAGAAGATGAAAAAAAAACAAAAACAAGAGGAGCGAATAAATGTTGGAAGACTGTGCACGACCGCTGGCAAACCCGAGTGCAGCTTCTTTTTTCCCCCCTCTTTCTCTCCAACTCTGCCTCTCTCTTTCTCTCTTCCTCTCCACTTTCCGTCTCTAACCATTGACTGAGTCGGTGCCAACATGCAGAGGGCCCACCTATTTGGCACCGAGTCTCAAACAGCCCAGCCAATACGCACGCTCCCAGCGCTCAAAGGGAGGGAAGAGAGAGATGGCAGAGGGAGAAGCAAAAGAGGTGGGGGGGTGTGGATGGTTGGTGGCGGAGGGAGGGAGGGGGTGGGGGTGGACTGTGTGTGGTGCACGCAGAAGGCACGTCATTAGCCAAACAAGTTCCAATCTAGTGCAAAGGCAAAGTCCAGAGGATATTAATTTTACATGCATCCAGACAGCGCCCAATTTCTAAAGCTCCAGCAAGCCAGCCTCCCAAAAACTGCCTTCGTCACTGACGTGGTCACAGCCACCCCAACAAACCAGCTCTTAGGCACCCCCCCCACCCTTCAGAAAACACCCCTCTCTCTCTCTCTCTCTCTCTGTGCTCGCGTTACACCACCTTGGCATGGGATGGCATGAGAAAACACAGACCCAAAATCCCACTAGACCCTGAGACCAGCAGCTGCTCCTGGATTTACCACACAAACAAAGAGAGGAGGGGGAAGAAAAAAGCGCCCCCATCCAAACCCCCCCACCCCCCACCACCCCACCACCCCCCCCAAACAAAAAATACCATCCAAAAACATGCTCTCTTGTTTCAAAATGCACACTTACATCCAAACTGGCCCCCTTTTCCTCCGCGTCTCTCCATTACCCCCCATTCTTTTTTTTGTCACTCCATTTGAACAGCCCCAACAGCACAGACGCAGAAACACATCAAAAGTTTCTGTTACTAAATTAAGGATCAATCCCATTTTGGGGTGAGAGACGAGTCAGTATAGCACTACTGAAAATTGAATTTTATTACTCTATGTGACAATTAGAACAACCTAAAGCAGGTTAAGCCCACCCTTTTTTTCACAATTATTGTCTTGCTTTCAATCTAAGTTTTTTGGGCGTTTTTTTTTGCAATGGTTAAAAATGCAAACGTTTTTTGATGCAGAAAGTAAATCAACCATGTTTCGAATGTACTATATAATGACAGAACATAAGTGGGGATAAAAATAACCCGAAAGTGGGGGAACACAGTTAAGCATAGTTGCTCTTTGTCTGGTCCTCATTCAATGATCTCTGCGGCCTAAGAGGAACAAACTGTGTTCCTGGCACCATGCGAGAAAAAAGCTGACACAAAAGCTCTAACCTGAGGACCAATCGAGCCTAATCGGATGCATCTGCGAGAAAATAATATCCCTGTGATGATTTTATTTGAAACAAGAATAGAACACCCTTCTAATTGGAACTGCAGATAAATGTCAGCCTTCCAGAAACAAATTTGCCATTTGGGCTCTCCGGTTGACATGAAATAGTCCGTGAAGGCTCACAGGAATTGAAGAGATATTGTCAAAACGAGAGTCTCAAAAAAGTGGGCAGCCATAAAAAAGCTAACTTGTCATGTGGCAAAGTTGAGGACACAGCCATGTGATTGTGGGGTGAAGCCACCTGCTGTGCAGTGGGACAAGTTGTCTGTGTGAACGCCCAACAATGGCTAGAGTCCTCCGGTTGGCTCCCAGGACCATCAGATTTAGTACGGCCTGCCCCTCCTGTCAATGTCTGACAGAGGAGCTTCGGCCTGGATGACTGGCTGGTCCGCTGATGGGCTGGCAAGCTGTCCGTAAGTTTGGCTGAAAATCTGTATTACTGGCTGGGTGAATGACTGGTTGGCAGCTAAGGCAGGTGGCTAACTGGCTAGCTTGTACCCGGGCTTACTGGCCAGTCACTGCCGTTTGGACCGGTCAGAGCCGGGCCCGGTGCCGCTTGTTTCGTTGACATACGCCTGCCTCACACAGCCGCAACCAATGTGGATAATAATACAAGATGATGATCGTGGCAAGAAAAGAAACATACAAAACAGGCCATAAATGAATGGAGTTGAAAGGGAGTGTGTGTTTTGCTTTCGCAGAATAATGAAAGAGGTGTTTACCACTTATTGGAAAAGAGATTTAGACTTTTTCATGAACAGGACATGGGAAAGATATGTGTGCAATATGTGCCATGTGCTGTCACTCGTATTATTGTACAACCACAGATAAAATAACATTAAATAATCAGTGTAACCAAGTGGCATTTCTTGTGTTGTGATATTTTCTTTTCCAAACCTAAAAACCTCCACTTAAATCACCACATCACAAAATCGACATGAAAAACTGAAAGGAATCTATCGCTAGACTATAATTCAGTGCATATTACCAACCAAGTACTATTTTCATATGTGATAATTTATTTTAAAACATGTTCCCTTTTCAAAACCGCTCCAGGCCTTCTGATCAGAAACTGGGCCACATGCATAGAGGTCTATGCATAATTTGCAGTTAAGGCAAAATCTTTTACGATCTTGGCCAAGAAATGAGTCTGTGTGGCACCCTATTATTTAATGTGTCCTTTTTTCTTATATTGACATTTTCAAACCCACATTTCTTCCTTTCCTTCCTTCCTTCTTTCCTTCCTTCCTTGTTTCTCATTTGTGAATGTTTCTCCTTGATGCTCAAAAGACTTTATAGCAAAAAAAGGGCTAATTTTTCTTAAAGTAGTAGGCTAATGTTGCAAGATATTGCAAGGCAGATTAAGATAAATAAATAAATTAAGTGCTTCTCTCGTCAATGCTTGCCGTGCTCTATTTTACATCAAAACTGTTATTAACTATACGGGTTGTGTAAACTGTTCCTCGTCCAGTACGAGCCGTGGTACAATATAATAAGAACGAAAGTGGTAGAAACTGCCAGAAGACACGAATACAAACTAAAACAATCATGGGACTTCCTTTATAAAATTCAGGCAGAAGAAAACAGAGACGACGGCTCTATTTTCTTTTCTTTTTTTCCAGAAAAGGCTTGAGCGAATACAAATCAAAGTCGTATGGTATGGACGGAACAAAAAAGAAGTGTAAGATTTATTTAAAATTAGAAAAGATCTCGATAAAAAAAAAAAAAAATCGATTTTGTTTCCATTTTATCACCCGAAATAAATTCTAGTATCTAACCCAGTAGGAACACTTGTACATTAGACCTCTAATAAAACAGGAGAGAAAACCTTAATCTGTTTTTTTTATTCATTTATTTATTTTCTATCTCATTTAATTTCTAGAATATATTAATAAACTTATAGGGTACTTTTCTTTGTGGTCAACCTCATTTGGCTCAGCTGACCCTCACGGGCGCTGCTCACAGCCTCAGTCGGACTTTAATCTGTTTTAGTTCTTCATGATCAAATACGTATCTTGTAGACTGCTCGACCACTCTGAATATATTTTTAAAAAACCCGTTTTCACCTGTGCACGTGTGTTATTTACATTTCCTAAGCAGCAGCAGGGGTTTTTCTTTCTATCTTTCCGGAGCGGCGTCCAAGAGAAAAAAGGACGAAAGTGGGGGCTAAACTTCGGATGGAAAGGGGATAAAAGACGTACGGGCTCGTGCTAAACAGTTTATTGTGTTACCTCTGTGATGTTGGCCTATTATAGGCCAGAGAAACCCAACTTTTCCTGCCTTTTTGACATTATAACCCACATCTATGGATAGGCTATCTTCTCTGTGAGGTGCATTTGTATAATAGTTATTATCATCTAAACTATGGCCTGTTTCCACTGTGTTATAAAAAGCCTCAACATTATTACCTGAAATGAATTTCTGGTAGCCTATTAATCTTAGTGACCAAATAAATACCAAATGGTTAAATATAGCCCGTGAATAGGACACATGGGAAAAGAGATCAGGTCAAATAGTTTGGCCTGTTTGACTTCACATCCTTTAAGGGGGGAGATTTAGAGTCAGTGTGCTCCTGTTGAAAAATTTCAAGCATTTTACAATATCTAAAGTGCTCAAAGTTAACTCATTTTCTTTCCTTCACCTGTTAAATGACAGAGGGGATTATGGAAGTAAACCAAATAAAGTGTTAAAAGGTATAGGAAAGAAAAGCAATCCATCACATTTAAAAAATAAAAAGAAATAATCATCATGTTAAGCAAAGAGCCCAGCCAGCCTTGAAACAAGTTTTATGGAGTGACCTTTTTTACTATTTGATTTTGACCTAAATAATGAATAATAATAGTAAATTGATTTGTTTTTTAGTTGTTTTAATTCATTTATGTTTTTGGATGAACTGAAATGTATTCCAAATCCTGCCAACAGCCAAAATGTAAGTGATATCAAATAAGTCTTAGTATAATATTTTTGTTGTGATTATATAGCATATATTATATAGTATATTATTATTATTATTATTATTATTATTATTATTATTATTATTATTATTATTATTATTATTATTATTATTATTATTATTATTATGTTATAAACCCATAAAGAAGGCTGATGGAGGCTTTTCACAATTGAATCAAGTTTGACATCTGTTAAACATCTACTTTGGTCAATGACTGAGATTCGAACAGTTATTTGTGTGTGTATGTGCATGTTTTTGCTCTAAATACAAACAAAATGTATGAAATTATTGTGATGGAATCTCAGATTTGTCTGTTTTTTTATCTTAATGTAATTTCTATTGACTTTAATTTTTTCCTTTTTGTAATGATGGTTGGGGTTAAAAAAAAAAAAGATTGTTCAAATGAACATTGTTTTCAAGTCGCAACAAAAAAAGGGAAAAAACTGAGCTGTGAACAGAATCCTCCTAAAAAAAAGATGGTTATAAACTAATTAGGAAGAAGTTTGCATGTAATAAAGTATAGTCTTTCTTTTATTTACATCACACACAGTCCCACTCTAAACTTTTTGATATTTCCTCCATGAGGTCTTTTTGCTTCCAGTTCTTCGATATCCATCCAACTTAAAACCTTTTCATCTGTTCTTATCCTTGGAAGAATGGAAGAAAAAAAAACTCTTTATGCTCTCTTTTTCCCATCGCTCAAATTGATGTTAAAAGTGTGTCTGCACATCGTTTGTAATTACTTCTGTTTACACACTGAAGCATTACTATGTGTGAAAGTCTGGAAGCGATTTGTGGCATG